GCCTCTACAGTGTTATTAAACAATAAGCTGACTTGTCTTTTTTACATTATCAAGACGGAACCAGACGAGCAAAAGCTGTGTTTGCGGCCCCCTACGCTGGCGAACTCACGCTGATACAACAGTCGAAAGGGATCACCATTGAGGGCTGTCTTACCGGGTTTCCGCCAAACACCGAACATGGATTCCACGTGCATGAATTTGGGCGCCTGGGCAATGGTTGCTTAGATGCGGGGGCGCATTATAACCCCCTAAACATGTAAGTATGTCCCATTTTCCCCCAGGGATAAAAGTTGCCCTTGATCGCGCCTTCATGCAGTTTTAATTTTCAGCGTGTTTCTTAAGCGTGCATGAGAGTTAGAATTCGTTCTATTAACCCAAAGAACATTTTGAGGCACATGGATTCTTATTAGACCTTAAACATGAATGAAAAATGAGGTTTGCAGGATGAAAATAAGCTCTATGTTTTCATGATGCAGGAGATAAGAGAAGATGAATGGATGCAAATGTTCTTGTTCCTTTGCATGAGGAAAGAAGACTGATCAAGCATTCGTCACCTCCTCGCCTTATTTATGCTACCTTTAGTTGCTGCTAACATATTTGAGGGTGAACGTACATTTTCCAGCGGGCTTTTGTTTTATAAATATAAGCACTCCATCCATGAATTTATTTGATCGTAGTGGAACTCTGTGAATATTTAATTATATATGTCTTTCGAAACTTGCCGTTGATCTCCACTCCTCAAATCTATACACCTAGGCTGCATGGGGGTATCCAAACACCCGTGCGTCATATCGGTGATCTGGGCAACCTCCAAAGTGACGCAAACGGACGTCTTTGTACTAACCAGTACTATCCTGAGACAGATCTGACGGGGAACTACACTATCCTCGGGAGATCACTGGTGATCCACGAGGATAAGGATGATCTGGGAACGGCGGGAACACCGGACAGTCAAGCAACCGGATCGGCAGGAAAACGACTCACATGTGCCATCATCGAACCGATGTAAAAAAGACCTAGAAGCTCCGCCTCTGTATTGCTAACCTAATTTTCGCACTAAAAATAAACAAATTAAACCAATGAGGAGCTAGAAAACTGCACTGAATGCATTCTTCACCAAACACCTAAATTTCGAAAGCTAAGACAATCTTAGTCCGCGAGATCTGAAGATTCTGGATTAGGGTGCCTTTGAGCCTCTACCGCACCACTGAAATCAGTCAATGCTCGCAGATACGGACTGCAATTAGGTCGTTTGATGAGTGGCGGAGGGGGGGTTCATATGAGCTTTTTAATTGCTGAGTAGAGCTTATATCTGGAGTACCACATTCAACAGGTAAAGTAACGCTTAGACTAATCAGGCAAGAGACAATAGAATGAGGGAGTTATTTTATAAAAAGCTCGTCTAGGAGCGAGAAAGAGATACGATTTATTTGGAAAGTCTCGGTCCAAAGATATTTATGTTAAAGTTAGCTATTTTGTCGTACCTGAGAGTTGCTGTGGTAGGCATTTATCGTATGGCCACTTAATGGCAAAAGTCCCCCAGTCCAGGTGTCTTACGGAATTCGTGGTTAGAAGGTTAGTGCGTGATTAATGAATGATAAGAGCGCAGCAGCAAAGGAATTAACGCCACTTGTAATTATTTTACTGAACTAAAATGCAAGTGAAAAGGTTGCGGAAGGGACAAAAACTCATTTTTAAAAGTACCTTATAGCAGTAAACGAGAAGTGTGGCCATGTTAGCTACAATACATATTCGCCGCAGTTAGTTAGGTTACCTTCAAGCTACAAGAGAACTCAATCGTAAGAAGAACATTGAGCAAAATCTAGTTTCAGGTCCGGGGTTCACCTGAATACCCAAGTTATTTAAAACTCCTCATATGGCGTTATACACATAAGATGGGTATGGATTAGCAGCTGATGCCCTCCACCGTAGTGTCATAGGCTACCAGCTATCAACCGGAAATCAATTTTTGAAGAACTCCCCGGTGGCAAAAATCTAGATCCGCTCCAACGCGAGTAGGTCCCTTCGCGCTACTTCGTGT